TGTTCTTACTAACTTATGGAGTTCCTTTAAGAACGGTTCCTGGAACTAAAGCTACCAAGCTCACCTGGCTGGAGGCCTGCAGGATCTTAGAGCGGAAAGGCACGATGGCACACAGCACTGACAGGAACCAGAAGATGAAGAGGACTCCTGAGGACTGGACTCCACGCAGTCGCTCAAACTGGATCAGGAAGGTGGCCAGGAGCTGATAAGTGAGGAGGGCAAGGGGTGGGGGCAGATTCAGAGTCAGATTAGTCCAGACACAGAGCACATGAGGTCAGTCTGCCTGCATCAGTTCTAGCACTGCTGGCTGCTGCTCAGGGTTCTCTGGCTCTTCATGTCCCGACATAACCTTCAGGAAGGTTCTCCCTCAGGACACAGAACACAGAACACAGCCCTGTCTTAGATCCCTGTGTTCCTCACAGAGCTGCAACAATTAAACATTTATTTAATGAAGTATTTATTTAAACCTTTGCTAAACAATTAAGCAGAATCAGAAAAAAATGGAAGCTACCTATTATACTAGGTTTAGGGTTAGAAGAAAACGTAAGCTGCAAATGTGAAGACCCTCTCCTCAGGAGGTGACTGCTGTACGTCAGTCCCATGACTTCTGGTATCCTCACCATGGTCATGCCCAGGACCAGCGGGCTGATGAAGTAGATGGGAGGCTGGCTCTCACCCTGATGGATTTCATGGAATGTGTAGAAGAGATCTGTCCAACAGATGATCCACAACAGGAAACCAAAGACCTGGGAGAGGGAAACAAAACCAAACATGACACCTTTAGAAAAACACTATTAATATTCTCTGACTCTTGGCTCACCTGACTCACTGACGTGCCAAAAAATCTGAAAATTAAGCAGTTCTATCTCCTGGCATGGAATCCACGGCCTTTTATTTGAGCTTTATGACGTCAGCTGGTCGTCCAGACAAGGCTACAAATATGTGTCTCCAGAGGAGTTAAAGTTCTCCAATGTTCTCACCGTTTTGAAGCGGTTCATGATGGACATCATGATGTAGCCTTTGTTGTTCTTCTTGAGATAGAAGAGGTAGAGAGGTGACGCCACCCAAAGGTAGATGCAGGGCAGCCATGTCAGGACAGACAGCTGGAAACACTCAGTGAGGTCGGGTCGATCTGTGTGGAGCGTATCATTGGCTACCTGTACACCACAGACATCAGACAGAGGCGGGACATTCAGTTCACACCACCGTCACAAATGAGCAGGAACTTAGAACTCAGATCACAAGTTAGAAACATGGGACAAAACCCCCCCAAACAAGGTACAGAGAAATGGAAAAAAGTTGTTTAAAAAAGTAATCATTTAACACAATCAACTAATGATTAACTAATAAAAACAGTTGAGCTAAGTGTTAGCTAAAATAGATAAAATAATTCAAATGTTAATTTAAAGATGGGGCACAGAAGAGGAAAAAGAAGGAAATTAAGTAAAATATTTCAGTGCATATATTTGAATAATTTAGCAAAAAAAAAAGGTGTTTGTCAAAGGCACATTCAACAAGAGATTAATCTGAACAGGAAGTGGTCTGAAACAAAATCCTTCTTATCAGCTCAAACGTTGCAAACCGGAGCTCTCACTGATGATACACAAGTATTACATTAAGAGTCTGAAGAGTGGAGACGTGTCAGTGCACCCCCCCTAACCTCCCCCCATACACACACAAACAGAGGCAAACACACTTTACAGCTCAGTGGCAGCAGATGTTTCTCTGTGGGCTGCGATCTATAAACAGTCCTTGTCTGTGGCTGAAGTCAAACAGGAAGGCGATGGGAAGTAGACTTTAAAACCAACAACAGTGAGCAAATAAGGAATAAACTGTCAGGTTTGACAGAAGAAAACTTTGTTAAGAAGGGGTCAAAGGTTACAGCCACAAGCAGCTTGACCAGATTTCTTAAACTAGATTTCTTAAAGTAATAGATGTGGTTTGAGGTCGTCTGAGAATAGGATTTTCTGTTGTTAAAAACAAAAAAATGACTAATGAAAAACAGAAGAAGCCCTGTAGTTATTGTAGTGGTGTGTCCATCCGTGGAAACACTGCCCTCTGTCTGTATATTCCCTTTTTTCGGCAACATTTACTGAAGCAATAATGAATAAATGTTTTTTGGGGAGAGGGGCTTGTTTAGTGAAAGAAAGATTTTAGCTGTTTATTAAACCCATACTGTCACTACGACCAATGAGAAGTGGAAACTCTACAAAGACGAGTTGAACCTCCCAGTACTAATTCTCATACCAATACACTTTAATGTGCACCGTGGCGGCTCCATGCACGTGCTTCAGCAGCTGGGTGTGTCACTGTACGGAGAGGAAGCGGAGTCAAGCAGCTGTGTTTATCTTTGTGCCGTCAGAGGTCAAACTTTCAGGCGTGTGTTTATCCAGAACAAAAACGGCGGTAAGGACGCCGAGCCTCGCTGTCAGAACTGTTTACTTTCGCCTGCTCACATGACCCATTTATTGTTCCCCAGCAGCTAAATACACAAAACTCACTGGGTTTTAAAATAATGTTTTGAGTTTTCAAGTTTTATCTCATTATTTCCAAATGTTTTTGCCCAAGCAGCCAATTGTTATATTTCATTTATAGTTCAATAAATTACATACATTTCCTTGGTTGAATTATTTAAAATCTCTTTTCCAGAATGCTAACAGATAGTGAACTTTAAGCTCATGTAAAACATAGTGTCCTTACATGTCAGTCAAATGTTAATAAGGGGAAATATTTCTTTCTCAAACACCTAAAAAAATTCCTTAAACTAAAACGATAACTACCAATTGTTTATTTATATATATTACTGTTGTTTAAAGTTGGTCTTAAGAGGACAAAAATATTCTCTTATTACAAGTGCTTATTACAAATAATGGAAGCTTTAGTGTGGATTATAAATGATATTTTAAATCTTTACAGTTCAGTCTGGAACCTGAAGTTTACCTTAGTGTAGTGAGCTTTAAAAAAAAAAAAGACTAAAAACCTTGATATCTACACTTGACACCCGAAACCAGAATGTCCAACAAAAGGTGAGAAGAAAAAAGGGTGAGGTTCCTTTGTGATAACAGCCTTCCAGCAGCAGGGGTGGGTGCTGAGGGGGTGTTCCGTCACTTACATCAGGTGATACAAGAATCTCACAATGGTTCCCAAAAGAGAATCCTCTGGTTTCCTACCCAAAATGCACTGTGCTCTACATCAGATAACTTTTGATTGGTGGATGAAAAATGTGAGGCAGCATCCTCCATCCTACTGGAGTTCAAAGATCACCTCGTGTAAAGGTCACAGACTACCATCGGAATAAAAGAATGACAACATTTGGTCCAACATAGAACACCATGTCCCACTGGTCTCATATGTTGGGGAACACAGCCCAGCTGTCTGTACCATACCAGCGCCAGCTGCTGTCCAAACCTCAGCTGTGGGGAAATGTAGAAGAAGACGGCTGTAAGAAGCTGGCTACAGAGTGGCACGTTCAGAAGGGCACCAATGACAGGTGACCTTTTTGATGGAGGAAAGAAAAATGGCACGTTCACAAGGGCACCAATGACAGGTGACCTTTTTATATCTGACAAGTATTGTTGAGTCTACCTCTGAAACATTAACGAGTTCAGTGCAGAACACAAACACTGGAAAGTCAATTATTTGAAGGGATTCTTCATCGAAGGAATGTGAGGTGTCGTACAACAAGCACAGCAGCTGAAATGGAGTGGGTCGCTGTATGTCTACTTTTAGGGTGTGGTCCAAAATCACATTACAGTCTGCACAGTCTTCTTCATCACCGACTCATCTTCACCCCAGTCAGATCAACCATCATTTCCATCATTTGTAACAAATTATTTGTAGCCTGGAAAAAGCTAAACAATAGTCTGGTCTGGAACCAAACCTTACTTTACCTGCAGCAGCAGGCAAGGACAAAGTATCAGCGTAAGCCAACCGGAGGAATGTCGCAGTAACACAAATGTGGTTCAACAGAGTGGTTTTTTATAGCCCACGTATTGAAGTAGTTGTTTAAAGTTATTTTCTTGAACTGATCATGTTGACCGAAAAAGTGCCGACCATAAAACTGCACTGAGAAAAACTGAAACTGGTTTCTTTTTCCAACAGTGACGATGATGTGAACGATTTTTACCTTGTCTGCACATCAGTTATGTAAAGCCATGCTGATTCATTTGAATACACCAATCTGATGCTGCTGTTCATTAGAAACGTGCAGACTGAGTCATATTCCTCGCAACCTTCCTCACTTGTGTATAATTCTTCAGTTGCAGGTCTGAGATATACAAACCCCAGAGTGTGCGCCGGTCTCCTTTATTTCCTGTTAATGTAATTAATCTAACATTTTACTAGGGGCTCGCTTCAAAATCCACACGATTCTCTAAATCACGCTTCGTTATTGTAGTCATGATGGTGTGACGATCCCATCGATGAAGAGCACGGGAAACAGATTAGTCACATTCCTAATGAATTCCATGTCCGAGTGGAAGCTAATGTGACCAAAAGGCCCAGGTTTTTTTCAATCCTTAAATTAATAGAACGTAAGAACACAAGTCGTCTGAGTTAACATTTGGTCTACTCAGCTGATCAACACATCAACACAGTTCTACACAGCATTTTTAGTTACTGCATTACTGCCATCCACTAGCTCTGTTCTCCACTTGTAAACATTTGTAGCCAGAAATTTTGCAATAGCTTGCAAAAATGAAAAATGAGAATAACAGGCAGAGGGCAGCATTGCTAGTGCAATGTAGCAATATACATTAAAGATATTGCATTAAGACAATTCTGTTTTTCAAATTTACATTGTATGTTTCCATTGCACAAGTTGTGATTGACAACAAAGTTTCCCAGCAAACATGCTGAGTCCTCAGAAATGTAGATTCCTCTTTTCAAACTTCAACTTTCTATTTCATTTTGGCTTAAAAAAACTGATTCAGATGAACAAACTGTCCAACTGTGGTTTTCTGTCCTGACCACTAAACTGTAGCTAAACGGTTTGACATGGGGTCAAATTGAGTAACTTTGTCAGATTTTTACTTGTTTATTGCTTTCAAAAAATCCAAACATATATCTTTTTGTTTGAGTTAGGACTGGCAGTCTTACTGGTACTGACTCCAGAGCTAACACTAGTGACAACAGTCCTGGTACAGACACCAGCGCTAACGTTGGTTATAACAGTAGAACTGAAACCTGGGATGAGTCATTAAATGAAACAGGATGAGAGCTGATGATGGACATCTTCACTCAGCTGTTGACCATGTGCTGCTGGCTGCAGCCTGGACTACCTGTTCCAAAATGGCAGATGTGTGAGATACTGGAGACAATCAACAGGAGTGTGGAGTTCACAGACGTCTCCACCTAAGAAATCTGTTTTGGCCTTGTTCTAACCTGAAGTTCTGGCTTTGACAGCAGACAGAACATCTCTATCATAGAACAACTAAGTTTGTTTTAGTTCAATTTAGAAAAAAAAAGTCTTAAATTTACACTTCACCATTTAGGACTATAGTGGGAAATTAGTAGAGGCTCAGGCTACAAGATGTTTTATTTATACATTTTTTTCTAATTAAATCAGCCAAAAGAGAAAAGAACTGATGGACCAGAAAATAAAAAGCATATCAGAGAAAAGAAAACCCTAAATTGTTGTTAATTATTCAAAACAAACACTTCTGCTAAATAGTCAAAGTGAATACCAGAGCCAAGAAGACACTTAAAAATATGGCACAATATCCAAAAGCTAGCCAAGAGGAAAGTTATCATGTTTCTAAAATTATGAGATTCAATAAATCAAATCATCATTCAGAGAAATAACCACTGGACATAAAGATACGAAGATCAGAACACAGGATCACAGCCCACTTGGGTTCTTTCATGATGTTGGTTCTTTTTAGCTGCAGCAACTGCCAAAGACACAGTGCTGTGTCCAACTGAGTGAAATACACTGCAGCCACCGTGCTCTCACGGGACTGTCAGGTCAAATGATGTAACACAGTCTCACTCTGGGTCACGCAGGGAAATCTTTCCAACTAGCATCAGACTGAACCACCTAGAGAATCTGAAGATGAAAAATACATGAAGAAAAAAGTCTTCAGTGAGGGTAAAGGAGGCTAACACATGAAGCGAAGAATACAGGGCTGACACCAGTGCAGCAGAATAAAGAAATCTCTGCTAAAAACTAAAAAGCATCAGACGGCACACACACCGTCAGCACACAGTTGAAACCTGGGTCTTTACAGCTGACTGCACTGTGGTTGAAGTGGTCGGAAACAGAAAGATACTTCTGTTTTACCCGGAAAACCGGGTAAACCCAGAGTGGGATTGAAGCTGTCATGATTTTCACAACTAATTTTGTCCTAATTATTCTCAGTGTTAATATTTAGACTACTTTTTTTTTCTTAGTCTTAGCTCAATCTGGTCAAAACTGTTTTATTTTAGATTTGTTTTTGATGAGCAAAATTCCAATTCATTTCAGTCAGCGTTTGTAAAGTCTTGATTTGGAATTCTAATTAAAAAAATCAATATTTTATTGAACATTGCTAATAATTATATTATTTAAATACATCATATTATCTTACAATTAATTACACAGCACTATAACTTTTATTATATTATTTATTGATATATAATAATATTCAACAATATGCACAATATAAATATATATAGTAAATTTTACAAATTAGATAAAGAGGTGAATTAAATATTGAAGAGGAAATGAAACATGTGGTGACAGATCAAATGGACAGAACTATCAATGTGGCTGGGAATCTTCTTTTTAACATAGCTTTTAGTTTAGGTCTCACACATATATATGTGAAGTACTCTTAGTCGTACTCCTATAGGCCCATGCTGCAATGAGCATGTTTTTTATTTTAACCCCAATAGCTTTACTGCAACAACAATCTTTTTTTCCTAGTTTGTGTGTTTTCTCTTGCTCCTCTTTTACCAGTTTAGCTCCATGTATACCTGGAGAACTACAGGAGCACACCCAGACCTGACCCTGAAGGCAGCTGAGGTCACAGTCATACTATCATATTATGATTTAATATCAAATATGTTTAAATTCAATATCTTTGAGCTAAAGCTAATTGTGACCTGAGATGGCTTTGATCCACAACCAGTAAAGAACTTTCTGGAGCTTTTTTTGTATGGATGAACACAGCGGTTTGGTTCATACAGTCCTCGTAGCGGCGCTGTATCCATTTGAGGGTCATGACCCACCGTTTTAATCCGGAATGTTTTTGTTGAGTTTTTCCGTAAAATCTTTTGATAAGACGACTTTATATTTCAAACCCTCTGTGGTTTGTTGTTATGGCAGCGCTGTTGAAACTATGATAACCCTGACAGCTCTCCGCCTCAGCAACTGTGATAACTTCACGGACCTTATCTCGCCAGAAAACGCAGTTAACAGTAAGATTCAGATAAATGCTAAGGTTGCTAAGTCAATTATCCACGTCTTCCAGAGCAGACAGTGTTAACGAGAATGAAAATGGAAGCTCATTACGGTAGTTAATACTTTTAAGAGGATTGTATTTTAACGCTCAGCGTTTGTACTTTCGAACAGGAAGGAAATAAAGGTAAAAGTCAGACTACAAGTAAACACTATGGAGCTAGCGTATCTTGTGACACTTTACGGCATCCGAGTTCGAAACCCGAGCGACGGGAGAGACGTTTACTCACCCAGAAGGGGAGCTTTGGTCCGCAGAGTTGCTCCATCCTTACTGGGGCTCCTCACCCTCTGGAGAGGCGGAGCTCGAGCGCTTTCCTTCCCACCAACTTCCGCTTCTTCCTCCGAGTAAAAGGTTAAAAATATATACAAATTGTTCCCGTCTCCTGTCTCATGCCACACCGGTAGTTACGGGGCAGCTCAGGAGCCCTGGTGTCGGAAACAATGCACGTCTTAGGCTCAGCTCGGAGACAAGAAAGGAGAAATGTTTAGAGGCTCGTAGACGAATTACTCCTGTCAGGGAGGAGTGATTGGAGAGGCGGGGCTTGTGGTAGTTTGTCCCCGCCCACCGGCTCCGGCATGACCGGGCAACGTTTGTTCTGCTGATGAATCTTCAGAAAAATATGAATATTTCTTAATCATTAAGTAATAGAATGAAACCTAGAGCTTGTTCTGTTGTTTTATTCCTGCAACCAAACATCAATAATGGGCATTAATGGAATTATTATTTTGTTAAAATTGATTTTAAATAGAATTTAAAAAATTAAAGTTACTTTACATTTGACCTCTCTTTTGGACGTTGCAGTTGAGGAGTAAACGGTTTAGAAAGCAACACAAACTTTACTTTCCAGTCATTGAAGAGTGTAAACATTTTCTCAGGCAAACCATAAATTAGGCAGAGAGGTATTTGACTAGGCGTTAATGTTTAATATGTGCTAAAACCCATTCCTGCCTCCACCCACACTGTTTATTGGGTGCACCAGTGACCAGCCCTGTGGACCAGTACTTCATACAACCTACTCTCAGGGTTGTGGAGAGTAATTTATGTTCAGATCAAATGTTGGACCAGTGTGTGTGAGGGGTGGCAGCTGGTTGGCTCTTGGACAGATTCCAATGTAAACCTGTCTCATAAGATGAATGAGTGACTCACAAATCCATTGTGCAACTTTCCTGGGCTCAATAAAGAAAGAGGAAACAAAATACACAAACATATTCACACAGAAATAAGTCCTATGCTGAGCCTCCACCCTCAAACGTTGCATTATAAAGGGAAGTTTGACAGTGTGCCTGATAGTAAGCCAGAGGTTTTCCTCAGACCATGTGATGTTTACCGTCTTCTCTCGACAACAAGCTGAACCAGAAAAGCCACTGCCACAAACAGCAAAAGACGTCGGGCTAATGACAGGCCAAATTACCTATTTTGGTCCAAATTCAATCCTGACAAACCTGTATGGTGTAACACAGGACCAGAAAGTGGCCAGTGTTGGAATGTGTGGGGAATAATCCATTTAAGCTTGTCACTGGTTCACACACAACACAATGATTTGGATAATTTTTTCTGACAGAATTCTACATTTGTACTATTTTGTCTGCCCTGGTCTAGATAATGTGGGCCATTTTCAGGCCCAGTAACTTTGAGACACACACACCAGTTTGCTTGACTAGTCTAAGAATGCAGGTATGCATAATGTGGGTCAGATGTGAAATACAGTATGTGATACACATACACTATATATATATATACACTATGGAACTTCCTGGTCCTCAATCTGTTTACAAATCTGGACATTTTGCTGGTACCAGGGGTTTCTGGTTCTGTGGGTCTGTTCTGCTGGTACCTTCTGACCTGGAGCCGGAGTGTAATGCAGCATGACTCTGCAGCACGGCTGTGAAAACAGTGTCATGGCTGAGGAAACAGTGTAGAGACTTTCTGTCTCCATGGTTCACTGTCAGCACATTCTAACTAACACTCACAGCCATGGCCTGACAGTAGGACTGAGGTGACTCCATTTGTTTTTTCATTTTAAGAGATTTTTTCATTGAAGTTATTTGTGGGACAGTTTCTGTTGGAAGTTTGATTTACTGTTAATGTAGTTTTTGCTACATACAAGTTTTGAATTGTCATTTCAATAAAATAACTTTTTTTCATGTAATATTAAACTTCAAGGTTTGAATTGTCATTTCAATATAATAACTTTTTTTCATGTAATATTAAACAACAGACACACACATACAATAGAAAATTATATTTCCATACAGGCCAAAAGTACCTCCAGTTTTACATGAGAAGCATTTTCCCCTAAGCCACAGAAACGCACCATGGAAAACAGGAGAGCATCCCTGTTCCCTGACGGACGTTGGGGATAGCTGTTGATACAGAAACACCAAAGCACCATGGGAGCACATACAGTCATAAGATAAGAAACGATAAGAAAAAGACAAGATAATACTTTTTTTATATAAGTAATTCAGTAAAAACGTATTCGAACACAGGGCGCGGAGGCGGGAAGCCGAATCCTAATCAATAGACCAGCAGGGATTTAATTATTTTTGAAAGAGCTACTAACCGTTTCAGCCGCTTGGTTTAAATTTTGGTTATAGGTCGCCATCTAGTGGTTAGATGTTACCACTACCTTGTCAGCCACAGGACGTCACGAATACTTGATTTAACTATTACTTTATTTTCTCAATTCATAACAAATGTAAGAACTGATAGTTTTACACTGACAATTAATTTGCAGCAAAAGATTTTACTTGGAAGTTGATTAATAAAAATGTACGTGTTCCAACACACTGTTAGTTTTAACTTTTATTTTAACTCTGTTCCTGGTTGTAACTTGAGTTCCAGTCCTAACTCTTGATCTAATTTAATGCAGATCTAGACAGTGAGTTTTCTTGTGTCTTGCACTGTTGTTCTGGTCCTGGTACTGTTTAATGTAGACTCAAAAGCTGGTTGTACTAAACTGCAACCCCACAGCCAGAAGATGGAGTCCTGAGCTCAGCCGTGTTTCTGTAGCTCTCCTGGTTCATTCAGTTCACTGTGCACACGATGGGTGGAAGAAACGCTGTCTCTCTCTCTCTCTCTCTCACACACACACACACACAGTCTTTTTATATGACTGAGTAGGAGAAATGAAAGACTAAACTCTGCTCCTCCTTCTCTGTGTTTTATTTTGAAAGTTCAAATATGGGTGGGCACATGTGTGTGTGTTTATTTGTGTATGTGTGTGTGTGTGTGCTCAAACACTTGGCACCTCAGTGCAGCTGCGCTGTGAAGACACATCTGTGGAGCAGTGGTGAGGACTTTGAAAGAAGCTCCTGATTCTGCTGCTGAGGAAAGTTCATGACACACGGACTTTGATCAGAACCTCTCTCTCTCTCTCTCTCTCTGGTTCTGAGCTGCCTACACTGACTTCAGCCCATGGGTCATGCGTGTGTGTGTTTGAGCTGTAACTGAAGCCCAAGTTCACGGTCACAGCGGCGTCAACGGCTGGATGAAGTGAAGTGGAAACATCTGCAGCAGCAGCAGCAGCTGAAGAGCTCCGTGAGGCTCCAGGATGAAACATCTCAGGAATGAAAGACTGCAGCAGTTTGTGTGATGAAGGAGAAGAGACAGTGAAACCACTCTGAGCTGTGGTTGAACTGAGGAGGAGCCGTTTGGAGCCGTGGGCAGAAGAAACGTCCAGGAAGAGAACAAGGAGATGAATCAAATGCTCGTTCCTCAGAAGGACTTGTCTTCCCTGCCTCCCAGACCTGCAGCTTCTCCAAAGAGGCGGTTTGTGAAGCTGGTCAGGAAGAGCAGTGATGGCTCAGAGCAGTGAGTACTGAGATCTTCACCTCCTCAGGCTGGAGGTTGAAGCTTTCTTCTCTAGTGTTTGAGTGAAGTTTCAGAGGAGAGGAGAAAATGTATGTTTGAAGATGTCACGCAGTGAATACAGGGAAGACTGTGAGGCTAACGTGTTTGATTTACTGGGTTAAAGTGAAGAGAATTAACAAGAAAGATTCTAAAACTAAACATTTAAAAAAATTATATATATCTTTTAAAATTAGCTATTAAACATTAAAACCTTTGTGGACGTCAAAGCCCTTGTACAAATACATCTGGATATAAGTCTAATACCAAACTTACAGGTCTTTATCCTGTATGTTTTACATACATGAATGATGTGGTTGAATGAAAACACATTTTTCTACAATTACTGATGTTTCATATAAAATTAAATATGTATTTGACATGCATGTCTCGTACCTGTTTACCTAATTCACCATTTCATGTCAAACACAGGGATTTCACCACAGCCTGGTTAAAAATCCTTTATTCTCACTCAGACCAGTGGTGGCGTCAGAGCTGAGTTCTTTTGATAAGAAGCTTATTCACAGTCCACTCTTCAACACCACAACAACACTTCATTATGTTGTCACTGCACTGAGGGGAACTGGTGCAGGAAGCCAGATAAAAACCGCAGCACCGTCTCTGTGTTGTTGGACAAACACCGTTGTTTGTGTTTGTTTCCTGTACGGACCGGGACGCTGACCCATGGTTAAACTGGTTTCACTGGTTTTCACTCTGGATTTTCTTCCTATAATCAGATCGGCATCGTCCACTGGAAGTTCGTCCACCAACAGGTCCACGGAAGGCGTGGTCATCAGGCAGCCCAGCAAGAACCGGGTCAAACGGCAAACCAATCGTTTCTCAGGTGTCTTCCAGCGAGGCCCCGCCTCCAGCTCTGCCCCCATGGCCTTGACAGCAGGTTTCAGGTCATCACTGTCTGTCCAAACCAGGAAAGATGGTGGTAGGCTAACCATTATTTAAGAATCTCACAAAAATTTGACGTCACATTAACAATGATCTTAAAAACTGAACCTGTAAGCACTAACACGGTTCGCAGAATGATTTTGTGAAAATAAAATTGGGTTAATCTGATGATGTCATCCGGGCCTAATTTCACTGAGCTTGATCTTGTAGACAACAAAAGTGGACCTTTTTTGTCGGTGTGTGGTCATGTGACACAGGGATGTGTGCAGACGCCCTGGTCGCGGACGACCCGTTCGAGCTGTCCAATCAGATAACTGCTCCAGGAATCCTGAAGATCTTTGGGACAGAAATCTGTGAAGGAGCCCACTACAAGAGTGTCCTGGCCACCACCCACTCCAGCGCCAAGGAGCTGGTCAAGGAGGCCCTGGACCGGTAAGACCTGGGCTCTCAAACAACTGATCTTCAAACAAATTCACACAGTCCTGATGAAGCCATCGGTTCTACACACAGTCAGGTTCAGATCACACGACCCTCCCTGATGTTCCTCCCCTGTCCACAGGAGGTCATTAGTCGTAGACCGTGACCACAGGCCAAGGAAGAAAAAACACTTTTCACTGATCTTTTCATTGGCCTCCACAGTCAGTGATCCAGGTCTGAGACCAGAAGTCTGTTCTGACACAACAGTACTAACTAATCCAGGAACAGATGAACTCAAACCTCTGACGTTCCTTGGAGAGTGAGCCTTCTCCACACTTATCCACAG